CTGTGACTCAGTACACCCCTGTCACTCCTTCTGTTCCCAGTTCTCTCAGCAGGATTAGCTGGGAGTACAGCTGTCATATCTGACTGTAATGTCATATTTGGTGGGGTATTATTCAATCAAATACAAAGTGCAAGTTAAAATAATCTAACAGGTGACAGAACATCTCTATAAAGATTGAGCTATCTATTTTGCAAAATTCTTATTCTATCTGTAGACCTACAGAAATGGAAGAAACTCAGTAGCTGCATTGCATCACTCCCTCGCAGTATCCCTGAAATACATTTTCCCATGGGTTTTGTTGCACATTTTTGAGAGTTTTGTTCATTGGTTATGTTGGGGGTTGTTTGTTTGTTTGTTTGTGCTTTTTTAATAACTGAAGTCTTGATAGAAGCTAACAGCATTTTGCTCTCTCACTGAAGAGCATTGGATTGTTTTTCCAGCAGTTATCTTCCAGGAGTTTAGTCTCACTTCCACTGCCTCTCTCCCAGAGTTGCTCTCTAGAGGGCCCTTGAATTGCAAATAGCAAAACCTTTCATTGAGACAGTACTTTGTCCCCCAGCCCTATTAGGATATATCAGTCTTCCCTACATGCCTGGCCTTGGAGACAAAGCCATTTTGCTTGACGAAGTCTGGAGCTCCACAGACTTTCCCCTCAAAACAGAACATTGTTGCAAGATAATTGTCTGTTTTCTCAAAACACCTCCCTTTGAAGACTCCTTGTCTCAAAGCATGGAGCTGGAAAGTCTGGGAGCTCTTGCCCCAGTCGGCCTTGCAGGACTCCCAGACTTCCCCCTGTATGGGCAGAACTTGGAGAGCTGAGACCTGCAGGAGGTCACGGGGCTGGGTGGCCACTGGTGGTCCTTCTGGTGGGGCTGGAAACGCTCTGGCTGCTGCCTGAACCCACAAGGGTTTGGCTTGGGTGAGTACTGAAAGGTGAGCTGCTAGCTCTGGGAGGGGTACATTCTCTTTAGTGGTTCTTAGGGCACAAAATTTCTGTCACCTTTAGAAGTGATTTACCACTGTAATAAATCTCCCTGATTTGTATTAGGCATTGATTCTTGTAACAGTCTCATTTCGCAAATCACATAGCTATAGCATAAATTCCCAGTTAGGAACTGGATAAAAACAGAATTAGGAGTTCAGCATCTTCCTTCCTTCTTCATGTTTTCTGTATTCAGGTTTTTGCACTGACTCATGTAACTTCTGCTATTTATTCTGCTAATATTTATTTGTAACTGCTTACTGAACAAAACAGTAAACATGTGCACCTAATTTTTCCTGAGAAAACACTTTGATACTTCTGTAAATTTAAATGTGTATTTGAAAACCTATAGCAAGGATACCATGAATATTTTTTCTGATCTAACATTCCAATTTCATGCATAAAAGAGTACTAGATTGAGAATCTGGATTTTTACCAGCACATGACATTTATTCTATGTGCAACTGGACTAATTACAGAGATAAATTAATAAAGAACATAGAAACAGAGGCATCTATGCATGTCTAATTGTGTCGAGTGGGTTTAATCTAGTTTTACTAAACAGCTTATTGATATAAGTAAGTCCTGCTGTAAGACATTTGTAGTTCCCAATAGATACAGAATCCTAACAGATATAATTATCTTTCTTTAGTAGCACTGCACTATGTTAAGAGTTTTTCTATTATGTTCTCCGTAATGCTGGATAGAACAAAGTATTAGAAATTAATCATTGTAATTATATGGTCAATGCATTATCTATTTAAATTCATGTTTGGAAGCTACCTTGTTGAAAAACTCCTATGGGAAATCCTAATATACATTTTTTTGTTTTATGATCAGAGCTAAAATAAAGCTGGTTCACTGAAAATTGTATGGAAAGCCTTCCATGAGAAAGACATCTTCCATGAGAAAGATCATGAGGTAGCTTTTTGGTGAATTATTTCACCCACATTCAAATACATGTTACATTTGCAAAACTCATGACAAAGCATTTAAAGATTGTTCCAAAAATATAGTCTAAAAATACAGTGGTTTGGTTGGATTGCTTTTGACAGTGGTTTCCAAGCTTCCATGTTTGAACACAGGAAGTTACAGACCCATCTGGCCTAGTGATTATGTAGGGTACCTTGCAGAGACTGACTGAGAAGTGGTTGGTAACAGTATTGTGATCTCTGCTCAGATCCAACTGAGGTAGTCAAAGCATAACAGGGCTTCCTTCAGCCCCAGGCACTCAGATTTGTATTTCAAAGAACAGTGAGTTCCAGGAGAAAGGGAGTCCTTGAGCACATCTCTGACACCTTGAAATGGCTGAGGATGGAATCCTGGGGCTATATCTCAGGTGCATTCATTGGCTGTGACTTTAAAGCTTTACAGTTTTCCTTCAGCTTTCCCGAATTTCTTTTTCACTTCTCTCAGTTGCAGAGCTGTTTTTCACATTGGTGTGGCCCTTGGAAGGCATTCACATGTCCTCCTCTTCATCCTCATATAGTCAAGTCTGTGCTCTTCCAGGCATACAGCAGTAGACAGCAGTGACCTGGCTTCATTCCATTTCTTGTGTTCTCAGACCTGACCTGACTTTCACATAACTCATGTACCACTTCTCAGGCTCCTTGGTTCCTCCTTATGACTCTTTTAAGTTATCCCTCTACAGAAGCTGACTCTCTGTTTTGTGATGCTGTGGATATACTCCTCTAGACCATGAGAAACCTAGGAGGTCTGTCCGTGCCACCCTTCCCATTCCTCCACAGAATTTTTGAAAGTTAGTGATAGTTGATATGTTCTTAGAAATCAAATTGGAATTTCAAGGAACCTGTACCAAGATAGTGCCCATGTATTTTTATTTCCATTACACTTATGCTTTCTGATAGGTTTCTGTCCTTTTGTACTTTTTTTTTTGCCTCTGGCTTTTTTCTCTCTTGTACAGTATGTATTTTTCCAAGTGCTGTTTCCAACAGCATATTTTATTATACTGACAAGAACAGCAACACCTCTGTAGATTGTCCTACAGCAAAGGCATGACAGAATAAATGATCATAAATAAGTCATCTTGCATGATTTCTGTGTTTCCAGTCCTTCAGTTCCTCTCTCCAAGGGGCAAGTGTCCTGGCAAACTGCTGCCTCATATGACATTAAAGACCTAAGCCACAGAAGAGATGTGTTTGCTGCCATTTGAACCCAAATCGCAAGGGTATGATAGAATGGCCACTGGAAGCCATCAAGCATTGATAGACCCCATGTTTCTTGAATTTTGTTAAGTTATGGGGGTTCAGATACTCATTCTACATGTTCAAACTGCTGGTGGGAGAGGTTACTTTGTTTTAGTCACAGAATTCTGATACTACATATGTCTTGTAGAAAGATACAAAACTGCACTTTGTATGGCTTAAACTCTCCATATCTCATTTTCCTATGTATAAAGTAGGAGCAAATAAATTAATTTATTCTCTACTTCTTTTAGTTTAATTTATAATGGCACTCTTTGGCACAGAAAGTTCAGTTGAAGGCTTTGCTACCACTTTAGATACATTCTCACAAAGTCCCTCTGGCTCATGATGGAGAGTAGCTGTTTGCTGCATCACTTTGCCTTTCCTTTATGCACATATTCATGGCTTCTGCCTCTGGAAGAATGTCTGACAACATGTGTCATCTGCATGCCATGTTACATGTTTGCAAGTCCCTATCTCACTGCTCACAGGAGCTTCTGGTGCATGTGTTCATGCTCAGGGCCATTGAGCACAAGGGGCTACATAACGATGCATCCCTATAATGCACTTAGAGATGTATTCACAAATGCCCAAGGGTAAAGGTGGTGCAAAAGATTAGCCCAGAGACCAAGGAAAGATCTACAAGGAGAAGACCCAGTGGATGCATAAGTCTATAGTGGTGTTTTCTTATTAATTTATAAATCTTTTGGAGGTCAGTATTGCTACAGTATTGCTATATATTTTGAAAGTAAATGTATCTATGAATATGGTTTTGGCTGTTTACACTATCTTGTTAAAATGCTTAAAACAGAGGAAGGACTTACACAGTCTTACACAGTGCATATGGGTCTTGCCTACAAAGCTGAACGGTGAGACAGGTAATACCAGCACACTGAAGGACCTAGAAGCAGAAAGTGAGGAGAGGAAAGAAAGGTAGGAGCAGAAGACTGATGTTACGAGTTGTACAGTTCTTCAAACTGTAATGAAATAATTCTGCACGTAGATGTGTGTAACATTAACTGAATTATGTATCCAGTCAGCAAATAAAATAGAGGTTTTATTCTCTAAAAATAGAAATATTTCTATTGAAATATCTGGTGGGAATGAAGGAAGTTAAAGATCATAAATTGAGACTTTCAGCTACTGGACAGCTACTCCCTGGGGGTTACTGTCAGGCCAGCAATATGCCAGTGCTGTACAAAACAGTCTTCTGCCTAAGTGGAAGGAAACATGAGTCACAAATGTGGTATTCAACTGCAATTGTTATTATGGAGGTCAGAGTCCTTGGCTGATGGGAGAAATAGACCTCGCCAGAAATGCCGGCAGTATCTGGTAAGGGAATGCATGAAATAAGCATCATTGACAAGTATACTCATAAGGAGGCAAAAGTTTTCTCTTTTTTATGGCTGAAATAAAAAAAACAGGAGTTAGTCTCTTTGGAGCCACCTTTCCAACTGTTAAGACTGAAAAGTATTTTGGACTATCCCTGTATTTTCAGAATTTCAAGCATTTTAGTAGAAACAATCATTTTAATAACAGCTCATCACATGATGCTCTGGAAACTGGTTTGTGGATTTGCTGCTCTGTTTTCTGCATGTAACTCCTGAAAAGAATGCAAAACAGGAGATGTGACGGCATGAAAGAAAGAAGTGTCACTTCTCTAAAATATGGTTTCAACAAATCTGTTTCAGAAGGCCCTGCAGAGAGCTGCAGAGCAGTGCTAGTCATGGAGATGTGCGTCACGAGGCTTGTTCATCTCTGCTGATGGGTGGGGGACTTTACTAAAACCACTGTTTTGTTGGACCCTGTTTCAGGTGGGATTCCCTTTGTCCTCACTGGAGAGTTTTTCCAGCAGTCACAGAGGCCAGCTGCATTCATGATAGCTGGGACAGTGAACTGGCTCTCCAACTTCGCTGTGGGACTGCTCTTCCCCTTCATCCAGGTACTCAACATCCTTCATAATTGATATGCTGTGATATTGCTGGTATAGTGGGACAGATGATGTTTGAGAAGAAATTTCAAGTAGTAATAAATGTCCTGTTATTGAAGTGGATGACACTCCCACCCTGTGTGCAATACAGATCAGTTGTGATACCCACATGTCTCCTTGCTGGAGTATGTTGGAAAAAAGCTGTCCTTCAGTGGAAAAGATATTCTAACCATGGACAACCCTCCATGGCAAGTTCCCCACAGGAGTGTTTAAGCTACGCAATCTGATGATCTTGTCTGGGTTCACAATCACTGATTGTGATTGTCACTGCCTCTTTCTTCAGCCTTTAGAATACCCATCATCATGGTTTGAGATCACCCTATCACCCTGTGCTTTGAGGATCCATATAAGTCTCATGGGAAAATAGATGCTTTCTGCACCTCCCTTCACAAGCTTGGCTTCATGGCTCTTTTTTTCAACTTCTATCAGGCTTTTATCTTCTTTAGCTGGTTCCTTCTTGCTGCAGCTTAATTGCTGCATGGATTAATCTGTTCCTGCCCCAGCTTCCCCAGGCTCCCATAAGCTTTGTTTTTAGTGGATTGCTTGGCTGCACTAGTCACATGGAGCTGTCTGAGAACTGGGGCTGTACTTTAACAAGGTAAGTTTATTTTCAAAAAAAAAAGTTGTAAAAAGAAAATTAAAAGTTCAACACAGAACAACATTCTCCTGCTCTGATTCCTAAGAATACTTCAACACTATTGATATGTCAGGGTTTTTTTGCTTGAAACAAAAAGGCTTCAAGCAGCATCTAATTAGAAAACAAGCTGAGGTTCTTTTCTTGCTCATGAACCTCTCCCATGGATTGTACTCTCTGCAGCTCACACTGAAGCTGGTGCTTTATCTCAGGAGCTGAAATACAGCTGATGATGGCCTGAATGGACGTATCCAAACTCTTAAAAGAGACATCCTGCTCCACTAATAACAGTTTAAGAGTGAAGCTCACTACTACAGGCCAAAATAAAGAAGTTCTAGGTTTTGAGTTTTTTAAACACACAGAGAAAAATAATAGGGGCAGAAGGAGAGGTGCAGGGAGAGCCAACCCTCATGGAGACCTGCACCTCACACCCAGGAGAGAGATTCTGGAATGGTCTTCAAATCGTTGCCAAGGAAGAGATTTGATGAGAGCTGCTGCTCTGCGTGCTTTCTTCCAACTGAAAAGAATTTGATTCTGCAATACCACATGCCTAACTATTTGCAGATACAGTAAAAAAATCATACTCTAAAAACTTATATATTTCTTTTTCATTTGACAAATAGAACTGCTTTTACTATGTAGTACTATGTACTGTTTTAAATTATCTGTATGAGGTACTTTGTGGTAGACCTTGAAAGCCTTATAACGTCCCACCCATGATCTAAGTTTGACACTAAATTTAAAATTTCTTCTAACAGGGACAAGTCTCTTGTAGTTTTGATTACTTGGATCAACTTCAAAATTTAACATGAATATAAAGTCTGTGATCTTACCAAACTCTATACATTTACTAATGTTAACTGCAATTACACTGCTATATCCTGAGAGCTTCTTTTCATGCTTACTGAAATTGATGAGTGCTATTCACCAGTTTCATGGTGAACACCTTTCCAGCTTAGACACTCTCAGGTGAGATTTCCAAAAGGAGGTAGAGAAATAATTCCTTTTCCTGAGGTTGTTAGGACATCTACAAAATGATAGAAAGAATTAGACAATTCCCTTGAGGTTTTGAAAAACCTGACCTAGTCCATGGGGCAGCCCCAGCTCATCCAGCAAATGGATGCTCCTGTGTAGTTTAATAGCTTTTTCTTCCAGAAGATGAGTGACTTTTAGTAGCATTAGACCCTCCCTTCCAGCCCAACTGTCCAGCTAGTTCTGCTTCCACCACCTACCTCCTTGGCAGCTGGGCAGGGACAGAGAACAAGATCTCAGATCTAGGGGCATTTAATCAGAATACTTTTTTTTTGGGTTGTTTTTTTGGGGGGGGAGGGAGGTATTTTTTTTTTTTTTTTTTTTTTTTTTAATTATCCAGAGACATTTAGAGAACAGCCACATTTCTCCAAAACTGCAGTTTCTGCCTTCTTCTGCACAAAACTGAGGATTAACCTGAGCTCTGCTTAGCTGTCAGATTTGAATTCATGCACCTCAGGACACTCCCTACTTGTTGTGCTATTACTACCCAAGAGATCACCTAGTAAAAACTGTTTAAAGACCCTCAGTAAATTCAAATTAAAAGGCAAACTACATTCTCTAATTTTCCACATGCATATTAAAACTTTTTGAGTGATTTAGTATGCATCCATATGAAGTTTGCTGTAGCCTTGGGGAATTTATCATTATGTGTCATAAAAATATCCAGTTGTGCGATTACAAAATTATCCAGTTTAGTTTTAATGATGATAAATTGAATTTCGAGCTTGAAGATTTTTTGAGATTTTTTTCTTCTTTTAAAGAAAAGAGAAATAAAAAAGAGAAAAAGCTTAGAATTTGCACCTAAAGATGAAAGCAGTGTTACTCAGACTTTGATTTTTAAAGCGTTTTCCAAGATCAAACTAGAACATCTCTTTTTTCCCAAGCTTTAACTTTTTTCCTATTTCAGTCAACCTTATTCTCAAAATTCAGTTTATGAGTCACCACTTTCTTCACATAAAGGCAGTATCTTCCTCCTAGTTCATTTTATAAACCTAAACCAGGAAAAAAAATCTTTAAGTTGCCTTCACAGGATGAATGCATAATCCTGTCTGTGTATTTAAATACTAACCTGATTGCTTGAGAAACAGCAGCCACATTTTTTTGCTCCTTGGTGTACTTCTACAAAATTATCCCAAACATTTGGGAAATAAATCTGGTAAGTTTAGAGTTACTAAAAAATCAAATAGTAGTTAGTTTTCCAAATGTCACCAATTAACTAATTTGAATTACTAGATTTTTGCCCTTCAACCATCTGTAGATAAATATAATCAAAGAGTGTCTTGAGTCATACATTAAAATATATATGTGAGATTGAAAAGCTAGTATAAAAATCAATTTTTGACAAATTAAAAAAAAAAATTGAATGCAGCTTCTTTTCCAGGCTACCTATTTGAGGTGCTGAAATGTGAACAGGGACACAGGAAAACAGAAATTAGAATGTAAAAATACATGGGAATGGGTGCAATGAGCTGAAGCAGGCACAGGGAAAAACAAACCAGCAGAAGAGTATAATCTAAAAGGCTGGAAAACTTCTGGTGCCATAGAATAGGCTTCTTGCATTAAAGTAATAATCTTCATTAGCAATAAGTTTGCAGGGATAGACTTCAGTAATCCAGTGGTGTCGCAGAACTTTAAATTACATGTTATCTAGAAAAAGTTTCTGTTTACTTTTTGTAATGTGCTGCATAAATACAAATAATTACTAAACATCAATAATTACCAAATAATTTCCCAACATGCTATTTTCATTATATGTTGATGCATTTTTATTTCATATTTCATTATTTCATATTTCAAGATTGCTATAAGGCACTTAAAGACTACATGGTAAATTAGTAATATACTGTAGGAAAACAGCAGATTTCTCCAGAAGTTTTCTGTCATAATAATTTCTCTTTCTAGAAGACTGTTCAGAGTCTTTTTTAGATGTCAGTCACATTGTATATAGAGTATGTATTCAAGAAATACTTAAATTGCTTTGTATTTTATATTTTTAATTTTCAAGAACAGCTCATCTTCAGACCTTCCTCCTAATACAAAAGGTTCCAATAACTGGGGAATGCAGTGGAATATCCTGTTATGTTTAGAGAACTGCTATATAGAAAGTATATATGATTTTACTTTTAACTGGGGTTTGACCAAAATAATCTTCTTAGATCTGTGATCCAGAAGGAGCTCAGTATTATATGGAATAAAGGTGCTACAAGCCTTGAAGCTTTAGTTCAGATTGCTTACTAGTACAATGCTAAGACTTGTATGTGTGTTCATTTTCCTCCTTTTACAAACTAATTTATTTGGGCCTGTGAAGAAGTACTTCTGAGTCATTATACTGGTTCCTGGAGGTTCTCTTTTATTTCTACTTTATTTCTTCCTTAGTTTTACACTAGAGATTTTCATTCTCATGCCTCAAGATTCATTTACTTGCAAGATTGTCTTTTGGTTGTCCTTATTATTTCCTTACTGTGTAATAGTATTCCTTCACTTTTTCTATTACTCAGCACAGGGATTTCATTAACAGGTGTGCACAGAAAGTTATGCATAGTTTCCCTCAGCCAAGCTATTTTAAGCTTCTTCAAATGCATTGGATGTTCCATGCAATGACAGTGTCCCTGTATTAAGGGAAATGGTTAAAGTTGCCCTCGAAGATGAGAAAATGAAATGTGGGCTATCAGAGGGTTAGATGTGCTTATCTTAATTAGAATCAACCCACTTGAGTGATACACTATAAGGATCTGTTACATTTTTATGAGGAGGTAGTGAGTCTGTGAGGGTCATGGTTGAAATTGCAGTTCATGTCTAAAACTGTCTCTATTTTTTACTTAGGAATTATGTTTCATACATTACACTTTAATGCTCTGTCCTTCTTCATTGTCCTGCACTTTCAGCAGCACCTTAAATTATGTCTGGAACAGAAGAAGGACAAAGGGTAAAGGACACAAGCCCTTATCCATTTATTTCACTGCATTTTATCAATTTGAAGCAAAGTGAAGTCAAATGTCTGCATGAATAACAGTTTTTCTGCTGATCAATTTTATAAGAACCATTATCACTTGACCTCACCTCTTCAAATGCCAGTTTGACCCACATCTCGTGACACTGATGTTCATGGCAACTTCCAAATGCAAGGACCCATTGCTAGTGTCAAGGGATGTGACTTTGCAAGTTGAGAATTTAGAGTCATGTTTGGCATTTGCTGGAAAGAGCCAAAAGTTTTGATTTAAAAATATTAATGTGTTACATTTGTTAAATTGATTCAGAATTTGTTTATTTGCTCATTAATTTTGCT